CTTTTTATTGAAAATCACACTGAAAAATGAAACAGCCATTATAAAATATTTGTAAAATAAATAAAATATAAATTAACCAGTGTCTTTGGCTTTTTTTAAAATTGTTTTTAATAAATAATAATAAATTAACATAAAATAAACACAATATTTAACTTTTTCTTTTTGCAGATTACGTGGATGAAATCTTGGACCTGGTGTTTGAGAAGGTTTTTCCAAAACTATATAAGCTGTTTTTTGTACTTTCAGTTATGGTCATCAAGAGACAGGTTCGTAGGAGTGGGATGAGTATCCAAAAGTACAAAAGATAAATTCCTGCACAATATCTAAATTGCAATACCACCATTTATTAGCAGCATGTTGGTCTTAGACCTAGGTTTAAACATTGCTAATAAATTGTGTTATTGCAAATTAGATTTTGTGCAGAAATTTATCTTTTCTAGTGTTTGATATGTAACATTTTAACAATTGTCAAACTGCCTTTCAAAAAGAAAAGTAAGCAATGTAACAAAGTGGAAAATTGAATTTATTTATTTCATTACTCATATTTTTATTACAATAACTACTGTCCTATTCCCCTCAGACGTAAAGGCCCATAGTCTGCTCTGTAGATGTTCATTCTGCAGTGAGAACACATTTAAACACTGGTTGGAGGCCAGGGTGGTCTACCATGCAGGAAGGTTGGTTTTGAAGTTGATGTAGTCTTCTTATAACCTGTAAATTTGAAAGGGTAAGTGAAGTGACGTTTTATGACAGATAAAATGACTGAATATTTATATTTTCATTCAACTAGCATCCATGTACTACCTGTGGTTAGTTACTACCTGTGGTATCTCCCTGCAGCAGACATTCTCTGGCTCTGTAGGCATTGATGTGCAATTCTCACAAGTACACCTAAACCAGAACATACATTTAAAAAGGGAAAAGATATCAGTTAGAGCTTTTTATTTGAATATTTTGTTCGCAATAACGACAGGTCACCATATGCAACGATGTGACGTTATTAATTGGAATTAGTGCATTATGTTGAAACGCAGTAAAAACGGGTAAACAGACATTACTATGGGGTATCACCCTAACCCCCACTACATCCCCCACTTCACACCTAGGGTGTAAAATTAGCACACACGTGTGAAAAGTGGCTACCACTACCCCGAAAACGCCGTATCCGTCTGGACGCGAGGCCGATGCGATAAAGTATTTATCCGGATTCGAAAAAAACGTATTCGTGTGGACGGCCCCACAGTATGGCTGTGGATAGCAGATGTCGGATGATGTATTACGGCGTAGCTGAGAATTAGAACATTTCAGCCGCATGTTGATCTCAAAATTAAAAAAACGAGTGCTATATTCCCACTCGTAGCTGTCGAGAAAACATTGCGGACTCGTGAAATGTACTCGTGTAACGGGAATAGCATGCTGATGTTTAACTACATTAAGCTACGTATGTTTACTCCATTAACAGAAACAGACGTACAAATATTCTTAAAATAAAGCTCATAACTAACCATTCAGAAACGTCCTGTTGCAGTCTACACTGAACAACTTCTTCGCTAGCTCTTCTTGTTCAGGGTCTGACTCTGGTTCAAACATATATGGCCATGTTTCTCCCAGGGTTCACGTTCAACTGTTGTCATGGTAGCGTGCCGGCGTCGGCACACCTCTCGGAAGAGGTGGGTGAATTACCTGTGTCTCATTTGGAATCAAAACCGACCGCTCTGAACAGGACTGTTTTGACAGTCATTCTTCTGGGACTTGTTAACTTGTAGAAATATGGTATAATATGACTCCTTTAAGGTGAAAGGTACAGAATGTAATTTTGTTTTAAGGCATTTTTTGTAATGACATTGCAGGAGAAAGTGAAAATTGCCAAAATAGATGCAATTTTTTGTAAAATTAATGTAAATTCTAAGTCAACCTAGAAACGAGGACTGAATCGTTAAACATTTTACGCGGGGGGGGGGGGCTTTGCTATGATTGCGGAAAGTGGACATAATTACAAGGTTGCACAGAATTTACAGGGATTGGTTGAATTTCTGTTAATTGTTGGGATCAAACTACCTGGAAGGAATTGAATATATGGAGCAGTAAATGAGCGAACAACGAGGCCCAGTTTCTGAGGACACACAGACACATTTCAAGAGTAACAACTTCTATAATCTTCCCATTAAAGGTCGGAAATCTGTGGATTTGCATGTAGACGCTGCCAGAGAAAAATGGTGAGACAAAGTTATTCTGCAACTTTATCAGAGTTTCATCTGTTGAAGGATGCAGTTTAAATATTTAAGAGAACACTAAAGTTGAGAGCCATTGCAGAGTAAAACAAAAATTTGATGAATGAAGCTGTTAAATAATTCTGTTTGACATTAAACTGGCTCTAATTACATAATGATTCATTTGGAGTCGGTGAAGCAATCAGTGCAGTAATAACAGTTTCATTCGTAGCTTGATCTGATCTTTTCAAACTGATCTTTAACCAAATATTTTAACATTTACTTTCCTGCTAAGTCAGTGAAACCGAGTTCAGACAATCAGTAGTGGAAAAAGTTCATTTTCCGTTGCGAGGCCATTTATCACTTCAAATAAACTTTTTAATTATTATTTTCTTACTGTGGTGGTGATGGAAGGTTTGCCTTCACCTCCTTGTTGTGAATCACTGAGACACTGTAAGGTTTACTACTTGATCTGCAGCACAAAGAAGTTCAGTGAAGTGACACCAAAGATCACGCAGTGTTTGAAGTGTGAAGACTCCCACAGTCAAATGTGAACAAAATAATAATTTGTGCACTTTTGAAGGAAACTCCCATCCTTCAGTTAGTCAGGCTGTACGACAATGTTAACTGGCTTCATAAGAAGCAACGTGTAGAACGTATAGTAGATCTGTTTGAGGTTTTTCATACAGCCAATCAGTGTGCACAAGAAGTCGCTCAAAAATGAAGCTTTGTAATGTTCATTTCTATGCTGCTGATACCATGTTGTATGTTATCGCCCTTATCAATATTAGTCTGCTACTGACAACCTCCAGAGTTCTTTCATTAGTTTACACCACCTCTCATATTTATCCTTTAAATGTAACAGCTAGCCTGGCTCAGTCCAAAGGTTACAAAACTCACCTACCAGCACCTCTAAAGCTCTCACAACATATCGCCTTTGTTTAGTCCGTAGAGAAAAAGAAATGTAAATAATAATAAATTTGCCAATGGATAGAGTTACATGCAGAACTACTTCTTGGCTCTGAGCAGTTGCCAAGTTGCTTGTTTTTTTCTCTGCTAGCATTTGGAGTAAACCTTTATTTAACTTAATGCTAACTACCACCAGACGTCATACAGGCAACACAGTTTGGATCTCTGGGAAATGAGGTCCAAAAACGCGCCTGCAGTTACCGCTTACCGCCATAGGTGTCGCCAAAGAGAATGAAACAGAGATCTTTATATCTAACTGACAAATAACTCTCCAGCAGAAAGCAGATAAATGTATTAAACAAAATGTTAAAATTATAACTTTATGTGTCTACTGGGACTCCATCACTGGACTTAAACGTACATTTCTTATTTTTGATTATTTAAACTTTGACCAAATACAAGAACAAGTAACAAATTCTGATTTCTTAACAAATACAAATTTAATTTTAGTTTGACTTAAACTGGTAAGCTCTCATAAATACAGCAAACCACTTTGCTCCCCAGGTTTAAGTGCATTTATAAGTGTTCCTTACACATCAGCCATCAGACTTATATTCACGCTGCTACATACAGGAACTGATTACAAACACAGAGGACTTTATAAAACAGGCCTCAGCATAAAGTCTGTTCCTCCACACGTCTCTGATTCTCTGTCTCCAGAACACAACAATGATCATTAACCGCAGTCATTTTCATTCGTCATCCTCGTGTTTCCTCCTCGTCCTCGCCGCTCTCTCCTTCCAGCTAATGACCTTCAGCCGGCCTCAGAAGTCATCATCATCACATATGTCCAGATAGACGTCGAAGGCTTCCCGGTTGCAGTTTCCGTCGGGGGTGAACACGTACTTATGGAAGGTCCCGTCCACACATATGGCTGCAGGAGGAGAGACCAGTTAATCTTTACAAGCAACACAACAGTGTGAACACAAACAACTATTTATTTGTTGGCATACAGCGCTGTGAGTGAACGCCGCCATCTGAAGTGTGGAAACAGTAAAAACAGGTTTTGAATGATGAGTGCGGGTGGGAATCTCAAGAAGAACCTCAGGATTCAGGGCTGCGATTATAAAACCAATGATTGTGTGACTACTTGTATATATAATAGAAATATGCAGATTAACTATCTTTTATTAATAGTAGTGACAAATGGAAGAGATGTGTCAACTGGAACTTTTGCCAACATTTCTCAGGACTGCAAAGAAGCAACAAAATAAGAGACAAAAGTCTGTAGCAGCATCCTTGGAGTTAATTAAGTACGACTGACCCCTAATACTCGTCGAGTTGATGCACTTTTCTTTAGTCTGACAGTCGCACAAAAACACGTTGCTCCTCGTCACTTTTCTCTTGTAACACAGGAAGTCTCTTACCGCTGCACTGCTGCATACGCTAACTGTGCTAGCTGCTTTTAGCCAGTTATCAGGTCACTTTTACCAGAGAAGTCACGTCCAATGGATTTTAAATGACATGTAACTTATTTGAATGAATCTGAATAAAAGAATCTATTGATTTTTTTTCTTAAACAATGACTGAAAACTGTTAATTGATGATCAAAATAATTGGTGGTTAATTTATTGGTAGACAACTAATCGATTCATTGATTAATCGTTGCAGCTCTGCTCCACTGTGGTGCATCCTGTAATCTCTGTCAGCTGATACCAACCACCAGTACCAAGCTCTCATTAAATATAAAACGCTGTGTGTTTTGTCGCGTTTCCTCACCGATGACGGAGTTGACGTTCTTGGACGTGTTCTTTCCGAAGGCGCAGATACAGGCGCACTCTGCCGGCACGGTGAAGCTGGCCAGCGACCACTGGCTGTCCACGTACTGACCGATCACAGGACCCACCTTCCCAACACGAGCCAGTCTGTGGGGAGACAGAGGGATCAGCGTTACACATTAACCCTTCAGCGGCAGTCGGACGGTGTAGGCGGAGGTTTGTCTTACGCAGAGCGGCGGTTGAGTTTGGTGTCTTTGAGTGCGAAAATGTGAACGGTGCCTTTGTCGCTGGAGGCGCACAGGAAGGACGAGTCGTGGCTGAAGTTGATGCTGCGAAGAAGAAACAAAGCAGATTTTAAATCGATTCAGTTTCTTCTTGTTCTTCTATTTTCTTATTTCATTCTGTTTTATGTCTTATTATTTGTACGTATCTGCTTATCGACTTATTTTTATTCTACTATATATAAAAACATTGAGTATAAGTGTTATGAAACCTATAGTACATCATATTTTGTTGAATGAAATGAAGCCATGTTGAGTAAAGGTTTGACCAGTAGGGGGCGTACCAGTAGAGGGTGGCCGGGTCGGTTCCTCTGCGCAGCTCCACCAGCTTGTCTCTGGTCGTGGTGTCGAACAGGCGGATGAGCGTTCCTTTGCGGGAGGCTGAAGCCGCCACGCTGCCGGGCTGGTTCAGCGCCACGCAGGCGATCTCACTCTGGTGGGCGTTGATGGTGAACGGGGCAGACGACGTTCCGGGTTTGGTGTTGGACAAGTCCTGAAGAAAACAACAGTGTGTGTGAGCTGAACGTGACGGACCGGTGTGTTTCTAAAGACGTGATCTGGTTCTGTTGGGGAACTCACAACCAGCTGCAGGCTGCCACATTTATGACCTGGAAACACCAGCAGCTGTTTCTCCAGACTGGGACACAAATCACACAGACCTGGAAGGAACAAAGTTAATCAAACTTTATTTAAATACAGAATGAAAACACAACAAAAAACGATGAACAAAATTAATGTTTTTAACTGTTGTCTGTTTGTTCAATCAAAGTTTTCCATGAACCTTCCTGATGTAGAACAGATGGCTACTTAGTTCAACAGGTGGTTTTCATCACAGATTAGCATGTAGCATGTAGCATGTAGCATGTGTAAGGACAGGAGGGGCTGATGGGGGATACTGAGCACGAGGACTCTTTACCTTTGGGGTTGTCTCTGGTGTCAAACTCAAACAGTTTGACGGGATTATCGGGGAAACTGTAGACGTAGATCCTGTTCTTCAACACGATGATGATCCTGGAGGAAACACACACACACACACACACACACACTCTCATCGTACTGAAAGAACACTGGTTGTGTTTCACGTAGCTGCGCGGGTACGAACTACAGGCGGTGCGAGTGCTGGCGGTCCACTCACTTGTCGCGCCTCATGCGAACGGCGAGAACCGGTTTGGTGAAGGTGAACTCCAGAACCAGCTTGTCTTTGGGGTCTCGAGACTCTCGAGCGTCGTCCCAGATCAGCACTGAAACATCACAATGAGGCTTCAGGAACAAAGCTTCACTGTGTTTCTACCATAATTAACAGATCACACTGATAGTTCTTTATAGATATAACAATAATCACAACAAGAGTTACACTGCTTTACAGGCCGGAACCAGGATTAAACACTAAAATAAAGTCAGAATTAAAGGAATAAAAAACCCCAGCAGTAAAAATCAACACTAACAATAAAATAGATAACAAAATTAAAAGAATAAAACACCAACCAATAATATGTGGATGGTGGATGAGCACATTAAAGCTTTACGGTCACACTAACATGAACCTGATGGAATAAATGATCTAATGAGAAATATACACATTATATATTAAGACAATAAAGCTGAAATACTGTCCCTTTACAGTCGGTTAATACGCTCCAAACACTGATACCAACATCAGATAGCACAAAGCACAAATACATAACTGACCTGAGAACAATACAATAATAATAATAATAATAATATTAATATTAATGAGAGACTTTATAACTCACCAGATATTTCGGAGAACTTGGGGTTGACTCCTCCTCCAACCACAGCCAGCAGGTTGGAGCGATGCAGCATCGAACACTGAGCCACACTGCCCACCTGCTCATGGTCTGC